GAGCTATATAGACAAATGCACGACACGGAACTGCAATCTATTCAACAGAGGCTCCAAAATTTAGAAAACACCTTATTATCACAACGAGCTAGGCCACACTAGCAGCCATATCATACAAGCCACTTAACAATGCAGAATCCTATTCCTCAAGGCCCTGCCTACAGGACTAGATTACCCACATATCCTTATCAATGCAGACCAATGAACCCAAACTGGCCAGGCCAACCCCAACACATGCCAGTTTACCTTCCAAACTTGCAAAGACCAATGTTTCCACAGAATGGATTGCCTCCCAATATTCCGCCGCCAACTTATCCTTATTATCAAACAATTGATTACGACCATCAAACCCTTACAGGAGCTAACTTGCAATTCAGGCATGAGAACAAAAACAACCAAACGGTAAATACTGATATTAATTCCACAACATGCAGGGTCTCATGCAACCATCACTGTCAACCATCCTCAAACATCTGTCACAACTACACCTACGACAGAAAAAGCAACACCAAACTTAGTAAAACCTTCAAACATTCTAACTTCAACAGATACCACTGCATGTCTTAATAAAGTTAATGAAATTAAAGAATCACAACAAGAACTCCAAACAGAGCCTGAGCAAGTCTACTTGACGGTACACAATGAACAAGTTAGCACAAACAAAGCAAAGAAATCTACACCTTTTGCCAGAACATCCAGAGGATCACATAGTACATGATACCTCTACTTCAACTCTACTAAGAATAGCCTCCTTCAATTGTAAAAATGTATATAACTCCCAAGCTTTGATAAAAGACATTTTAGATTTTAGTGATTTTATATGTATTCAGAAACATTGGATGTTCACGTTCGAACAGGACAATATTGGACAGCTCTTTAATAAAACTTCTTGGACATGCAAGTCAGTTGACGAAAACAACCCTATACCTCCAACACAAAAACCGAGAGGATTTGGTGGAGTAGATATACTATGGAAACAACATATAGATCATTTTGCAGAAAAAATGATCTTGGCTCAGAGAGAATCATATGTATAAAGCTAAATGTAAAACCAAAGCCGATTCTGTTAATCTGTGTTTATATGCCATGCAGAGGGTCAAAACAAGCAAATGAACACTTCGAAGAATGTCTAGACCAGCTTCATGAGATAATTCTCAAATACTCCGACACATGTACACCTCTCCTATGTAGAGAATGGAATTGTGATCTGATGAAAACAACGAATAAATCAGCACGAATAAATGAACTGGAAGACTTCATAAGTTCTAAGTAGCTAATGTTTAAAGCAACCCCATTAACATTCATTCATCCAAATGGCAATGACAATCACCAATTGACTATATCTTTGTACATGACAGCCTAGCGGATAAAGTTTACGCCATAAGTATGGATATGTTATCAAAGAACACCTCTGATCACTATTCACTGTTAACGGAAATCGAAACAGAGATTGTAAACAAGAAAAAGCAAGACCAACCTGTATTGTCAAATAAAATTAAATGGGGTAAAATAAATTTACAACAATATCAAGATAGTTTAACCAAGAGCCTTGAGGAAAATCCCATCGACTACATAAATGACTCGACCGCAATAACAAAACTAATGGATACCATAGTAACAGCTGAAAGAAATATAGTACCATCATCTAAAATATCAACTCAACGAAACAAACATATTTGGAATAACGAATAAATCATCACTTGATATATGGAAATTTGAAGGAAAACCAACAGCTGGCGAAACTTTGCATGAACGAAAAAAAAACATACAAAAACCACATCTTCCTATATCGAAAAAAAAGTACCTGCGCAAAGCCCGAAGACAAGAAATTGAACGGCAACGAGACGAGTCACTACAGAAGATCAGGAACATTAAACAGGGAGATATATTCCATGACTTGTGCATGCACAAATTAAAAAAAAACTCCCATATCAGACCTTACGGTAGAAGACAAAACCTATTCTTCTAAGGAAGAAATACTCCAAGGTTTGAACGAACATTCCAGCAAGCTCGCAACACCTGAGTCTAATACCCTAAATTCTGATCATACCAACAAAGAATTTAATATAGACATTATCGAAGAAATCGGCAAACAAAATGTTGTACCATTAACTTTTACAGCAGAAGAAATTGACAAAGCCATAAATCAGTAGAATACCAACAAGACATCTGGTATATGCGGTATCACAGTAGAATATATAAAATATGGTGGAGGTACATTACTGCAGGCAACCACATCTATAATAAACAACATATGTTCCTCTGCAACTTTACCAGACTGCATAAAACATGGAATTCTAGCTCCAATATTCAAAAACAAAGAACTACCAAGTGAGGCCAAACATTAAAGAGTAATCACTGTACTCCCAATTATTGGGAAAATTCTGGAAATATTACAGACGAAATTGCTAAGAGACATCATTGATATTCTCCAAAACCGGCTACAAAGAGGTTTCACTCCCGGGGTATCTCCTCTATACAGTGCCCTCATACTTCTAGAATCCATTGCAGAATCAATGGATCAAAAAATGCCTGTTTTTGTAGCTCTGTTGGACGCCAAATCCGCATTTGATGTTGTCAATCTTAACAGCTTACATCGTAAACTTTTCCTATCAAGAGTAGATGGGACCCTCTGGCTCCTAATCCGCCAACTGAGTACCTACGCCACAACCTCTATTAAATGGAATGGTCTTATGTCAAAACCGTTCACTGTGCAACAAGAAGTAAGACAAGGTGGGATACTTAGCACAGAACTGTAAAAAGTTTATATTAATGATATACTGGACCAACTAGAAAACAGCGATCTTGGTACCTACATCGGAAATATATATTGTGGATCCCCGACTTGTGCAGATGATGTTGCCCTCATTGTCAATTCTCCTAATGACCTCCAAACAATGATAAGTACGGTTGAGAATTATAGCACGCAAGAAAAATACTCACTCCAACCCACCAAAAGTGTTATATTAAAACATGGGCCACCTTCAAAAGATACAGGCTTCAACTTTAAAATAAAAAATATAGAAATGAACGAGCCAGATTCAGCTGTACATACTGGCATAAAACATAGCTCTGATTTGAAAAAAATCAGCATCCATGTTGACGAAAACATCTCAAAAGCAAGACGAACTATGTATAGCCTGATTGCGGCTAGTCTTTATGGAAAGAATGGGCTAAACTCACTAACAAGTCTACACATTTTCAACATTTATGTATTTCCTGTTCTTATCTACGGAATTGACATTCTACTACCAGACAATAATCACTTAGAGCCACTAGAAGTATTCTATCGAAAATAATTCAAACAGATCTTGTCGCTTCCTAACAACACAGCGGATGCAGCTATTTACACTATAGCTGAATTATTCCAGTCCAATAAAGGCAACAGTAGTATACCGCTGTTCGAAATTCATAAATCGATTGAGAAAAAAAACAAATCCGGGTTACAAACTAAAACTGAGGGAAACACATCAAATATAAGAGGAGAACTACGACACAACAGATTTGAAACACAACATTAAAATGTAACACACACAGAAACGAACTATAATATAACAATGGCCATTTTCCTGACTTGGTACAGGACATTTCAAGAATGAAATGGAGGGTTGAACCTGGTTTTGTGGCTAGCCAAACCTCCCGCTTTTATGGCAATGTTAAATATAACATTAAAATGAAAACATTACATGACAGGACTACAATACAAATAAATGGGAGAACATATAGGGCATTATATAAGGCATTTTACACAAAGCAGCTTTAAACATATACATGATTATAATGCAAAATTAGTTATTAGTGGCGGCATTTTGTGCACGGTTATGGTTGTCTTTCTGAAACTGTTTAACTTCATACCCCTTATTTCATTTATTTTGTATTTACATTAATTGTGTCATAGATCAAATGTATATTTATTTGTTTTGTGTTAATATGTATTTTGATTGAGTTAAGCCATTTCAGTTGATATCTCATAGTGTTGTGTTATTACACTATTGATTCAGGTAAGGGTGAATGTTGGTACCTTTTAAAACGTTTAAATCCGATGCATTTGTTTGCACCTGTTCAAGTCTGAAACCTGATGTTCAGGTTGTCGTTTGTTGATGTGGTTCATAAGTGTTTCTCGTTTCTCATTTTTTTTAAATTAGATTAGACCGTTGTTTTTCCTGTTTGAATGGTTTTTGCACATTTCATTTCTGGGGCCCTTTTTAGCTTGCTGTTCGATGTGAGCCAAGGTTCCGTGTTGAAGACCGTACTTTGACGTATAATGGTTTACTTTTACAAATTGTGATTTGGATGGAGAGCTGTTTCATTGGCACTCATACCCCATCCTTTATATCTATAATCTTTCATTCAGTTTAATTGAGGTCTGGATCTGGCATGTTAGTAACTTCTAGTAGTCCTTTGTTGATTTATGTTTCATTATCATTTTGCTTAGTTTCTTTTGTTACCTATTTGGACATGGGATTCTGATAAGTTTTACTGTTCGTATTGCTGTGTGTTTGTTTTTCCTACATTGGCTAGAGGTATTAGGGGGGGGGGTTGAAATCTCACAAAACATGTTTAACATACTCATTTTTGCGCCTGTCCCAAGTCAAGAGCCTCTGTCTTTTCGTAGTCTTGTATGAATTTAAATTTTAGTTCATTTATATGTTTTGGAGTTTATTATGAGGTCAATTTTCACTGAACTAGTACACATTATTGTTTAGGGGCCAGCTGAAGCCTCCTCCGAGTGCGGGATTTTTCTCGCAGTGTTTTTTTAACTTTCGTCGGGTTGTTCTCTCTTTGACACATTCCCAATTCCCATTCTCAATTTTTTTTAAAGTCTTTATATCCATTACATGTGAACACTTAATGTGTTAACGTAAAAATTTGTTTTAAATTAGATAATATCATTATCCTAAACACTTTTATAACTAAACATGTGATACAAGTGTTTATTTTGTAAGCACGAATTTAACAGTGCATGAAAACTTTTATAATATATGTTTCTGCTAACTTACAGGCTATGGAAGAAGAATGAGTAGCGGGATTGACGAGTAGAAATTCAGAGAATGAAGAAAACTTAACAGATAAAACACAGAACTTGAATAAATACACAGTATGTGAATTGAGTATATGGTAGGCAAGCAGGTTTTCAGACACAAGCAATTTCACTCAAAGGATTGTTTTCCATGTTAGTCCTGGCCTTCAAGGTTCCAAGACGAATCGCGTCCGAGAGGTCGCCAGAAACAGTGATAAAACTTTCATAAGCATATTTTTTTTAACAGATTGAAACTGATCCATCTAAAAGTCAGTGCTTGTTTTGAGCTTCTTGTTTGGATGTTGAATTGTTCCAGGTCCGGGACAACGGTAACAGTGCATCTATTGTCTGGATTAATGCTGTTTCCATTTTTGTAGTAGAAAAAACAACCTAAAGATAATTGACATAAAATCAGTCCATACACAGCAAAAAAGAAAACACAGAAAAAAGCACTTCTTCATTTCAAAGCTACAGTGACGCCTACAACACGGATAAAAAAAAACTCTCACCTCTTTCCTAGTTTTAGACAGTCCCAAGCAACGGTTTGAGTGGATTCGTTTGCAAAAGAATTCTTTTTTAGGTTTTACTGGAAAACGGATTGAAATAAATGATGTATCGGAATGATTTTCTCATTAAGCTGGGTTCACACATTCACGACTTTTACTGCCGTCCTTGAGAAGACCAAGCCGATTAAAATTTGTCAAAAGTTTGATCAAGATACTGTGAATCGTGGATGGAAATTGATAATTTTATTAAAAATTGTAAACACATTTACCTTTCTCGACAACAATCAGATATTGTTCAGGAAGCGTCCAAATTCAGCCGTTTCCAGCTGAATTTGTCCCGATTTATATACAATTCTCAATCTGACATTAATCCGCGCTGTATTTCTCACATGATAAAAACGACTGAATCTGTCCCGACAGCGTCCTGATTATACCGAATGTAATCCGACCAGACAGTGAACCGACGCTGACGGAAGATATCCGTTAGAAATCTGTCGCCATATTCGGGATGATTAGGTTCTGTCGGAACGCAATCCTATCACAGTCTGATTGCAAACGACTTGATCTAGACTCAGTCGTATTGTTTTCTGTAATTGTCGAGACTAAGACGTGGATATTATTGCCGAATTTCGTATTAATAAGGGACTGTTCGGGAACGGTTCTGGAAAGACTGTTCGCATTCTGCAAGATCTGGTGACAATCTTGACTCAATCGGAAAAACACAGCAATGAATTTCTCCAGATCATGCCCGTTTCACAGGACACTGTCCAGAAAACACTGAACATTGTTACTATATTGATCCGATACTGCAGAATCTTTCACAACATAGTCACGATTGTATTCTGATTAGACAAAATCGGCGGAGTCTCCCCGATTGCTACGGACGCATCTTACTGTCGTGCTGCTTGGCCGACCTCACGTGACCATTCCCGATCCGTAGTAATCTGCTACGAACGCATACAATTGCGTTCAGATAATGATAGGACATTCCAGATGATTAGGGTAGTAATCCTATTTTCACTTTCCGTGTATTATCGCTGTCTGATCTCAAGCGGGAGTCATAATCGGCACTGTTTGAACGCCGCATTATACCCCGTCACACTAGGCCACAATCGCACTACGATCTCTGAAAAAAAATGCAAATTTTGACGATCGTTTAAATCGCAGTAAGGTCGTGATACGGTTTTGGTGAGGTCTTCATGGTCGTGATGAGCATAGACAAACTGAATATGTTCAAAACAATCGTGGTGCGGTCATGCCGAATTCACGGCGTAGTAGAAGCGTAGTGAGAGCGCAGTAAGGTCGTGGTAAGATCGCTGTACCATCGTAGCGAGAGCGTAGCGAATGCACGATTCTAGTCAAAGAGACTCTGCTACTATCTCACAGCGACATTACTATGACCATCACGTTCTCACCGCGACCCAACCACGCTTCTACTATTCTCCAGGTTTTTTTAACCATCTATTTCAATTGAACCATGGCATTACAAGACCATGTACATGTAGTAATGCTTCTACAATCATTAACACAGATAAGAAATCTAAACAACCAGGTCATGTAATTGTCATTGCGACATTGTCATTTGATCTTGATTGACCAGCAATAGGTTGTGATTCAGGTCAGATTGGTCGGTCCGGCATCTCTACTGGATCAGGATTCATATCAAAGGCCCATCTGCCTCTACCTTTACCCCTACCACCACTACCGCGAGTTCTGGAAGATTTTGACTGCATGACTGTGATGTTTCCGAGAAATCTTACGTATTATTCAGAAATGAAAGGAATTAAACAGTATTTATACGGAACACGATGATGGCGTTATTGCTGAGAGCGTAGTAAGATCGCTGTATGAACGTGGTATGATCGTAGTATGAACGTGGTAAGAGTGTGCTATAATCGCAGTAGCAGTGTGGTAAGCTCGTTTTGCAATCGGATAAATCGTGGTATGGTCGTAGTGAGAACGTGATGAGTGTAGTAAGATCGTGATAATCGTAGTAAGGTTGCAGAATAAGCGTGGTTAGAACGTTGTATAATGAAAATGGGATCGTTGTCGAAGCGTAATGAGGACGTAGTAGCATCGTGAAAACAACGAAAATTTACATTCTCATGTTGCTGATACCGCGATCTCACCATGATCTAAATTTATTTTAGATCGCGGTGAGCGTGGTGAGATCGTGGTCCATTGTGACTGGGGCTTTAAGAAATAATATCTCTTTGTCAGTATAGCTATTTATTTCATGACCTCTGAAGCAATCGAATAGCTGAGGAGGCTAGTTAAAATAGCCACATTTGAATTGTGCCATTAAGCCACCAATAATTGAATAGCTTAGTGTAACCATAGGGTCGTATATAAGTCACTAGGAAAGAGGAAAATGCTGTGCAAAACTGATTGGAAAACCCAAAATTGACCAGTGGATAATGAACATCGTGTCTAAATGTACTTCTTTATAAGAGTACAATTGTACGTGTATATTCTACAAATGTCAGTGATAGTTTGTCTGTAATATCAAACCTGTCATGATTAATTGTCGAAGTTTCTACTTTGTTTGGATGTATTGCACCATATCATCGTATTTTTTCATATTAAAAAAGTATCGCATTTTTATTACATAAATATCGCATTGGAAAAGTTTTTCAAATAAGAAAAACAGCGGAATTATATAAGAAAATATTGCAGTTTTATCCAATTATCCGATTACAACTGATTATGAATGCAATCGAATACGCTCAAAGGCCATTTCACTGTCTTTGGTAAATGATTGACAAAGTATCTGGACACCTCAACATTTAAGATCGTGGAAATATTGTTGTATTTAATCTAAAAGCAAATTTACTCGAATAAATACTCGAATAAATACAACATACGTCCAGAACACATGGCAAGTTGTATTCCTACAAATGTCAACATTTGTCTGAGATTTTCCCATAATGCGCCTAGCTAGCTTACAAAAGAAAATATCACTACTCCACATAAGAAACGGGTTTCCTGATTCGCACTTTCCATGAACTGTTACCATCAATTTTCGTCTTGCTTTCTTGGATGGTCAAATTGTGATATGAAACGTCTGTGTCAATTTAAACAAAATTTGGTCATACTAATTCATAGTATCTTTTCAGAATATGTTCCTGGTGATTCTGTTGATCAATTAACGTGTCTGTTGTTATAATTAGAAGAACATGAAGGCTGAATTGAGGTAATTATCTTATATCTGGAAATATATAATAGACAGAGCAAAGACTTGAGCGTGTAGAAAACGATACGATCTTTTGTTACCTTGTTTAGTATCTATACATGAAATCTTTTGGAGGGCCAAAGAGCAATCCAATTGAAAGGTGGATTCTAATGAGTTGTTTATTATTTGTCTGTATTTTTCATGCAAATCTTAACTTAGCTGGATTTAAAGACCTAAAAAAAGGAAGAGAAAAAATACCCTTTATATGCAACTATTATTTACATTGGAAGGAAATAAAACTCAACGTGTTTCTGTTCATTTTTCTGTCCGTTTTATCACAATTTCCTATTTGTCGAGCCTGCCTTCGACTTTTGTCGAAAAAGCGAGACATAGCGATCCTACATTCCGTCGTCGTCGTCGGCGGCGTCCACAAATATTCACTCTGTGGTTAAAGTTTTTGAAATTTTAATAACTTTCTTAAACTTTCCTGGATTTCTACCAAACTTGGACAGAAGCTTGTTTATGATCATAAGATAGTATCCAGAAGTAAATTTTGTAAAAACAAATATCCTGTTTTTCCGTATTTTACTTATAAATGGACTTAGTTTTTCTGCCAGGAAACATTACATTCACTCTGTGGTTAAAGTTTAAAAATTTTTAATAACTTTCTTAAACTATCCTGGAGTTGTACCAAACATGGACAGAAGTTTGTTTATGATCAAAAGCTAGTATCTAGAAGGAAATTTTTATTAGAATTTTGTTCTTGTTTCTCCATATTTTACTTATGAATGGACTTAGTGTTTCTTCCAGTTAACATTACATACAGTCTGCAGTTAAATTTTTAAAAATATTTATTAGATTCATAAACTATCCTGATTTTTACCAAACTTGGACAGAAGCTTCTTACAATAAAAAAATTGTATCGAGAGGAATATTTTTATTAATTTTTTTCCTCATCTCATTTTGTTGAGCCTGCGATTAACAGAAAAAGTAGGCGAGACACTGGGTTCCGCGGAACCCTTACGATTTTTTTAGCTCACCTGGTCCAAAGGGCCAAGTGAGCTTTTCTCATCACTTGGTGTCCGTCGTCCGTTAACTTTTACAACAATCTTCTCCTCTGAAACTACTGGACCAAATTTAACCAAACTTAGCCACAATCCTCACTAGGGTATCTTGTTTTAAAAAATATATCCGATGATCCAGCTTGCCAACCAACATGGCCGCCATGGCTAAAAATAGAACATAGGGGTAAAATGCAGTTTTGGGCTTATATCTCTGAAACGAAAGCATTTAAAGCAAATATGACAAGGTGTAAAAATGTTTATCAGGTCAAGATCTATGTGCCCTGAAATTTTCAGATTAATCAGACAACCCGTTGTTGGGTTGCTGCCCCTGAATTGGTAAATTTAAGGACATTTTGCAGTTTTTTGTTATTATCTTGAATAGTATTATATATAGAGATAAACTGTAAACAGCAATAATGTTCAGCAAAGTAAGATCTACAAATAAGACAACATGACCAAAATGATCAATTGACCCCTTAAGGAGTTATTGCCCTTTATAGTAAATTTTAAATTTTTTGGTTAATTTTTGTAATCTTTTACAAAATATTTTCCTCTGAAACTACTGGGTCAAGTTCATTATAGATGGAGATAATTGTAAACAGCAAGAATGTTCAGTAAAGTAAGATTTACAAACACATCACCATTACCAAAACACAATTTTGTCATGAATTCTATTCTTGTCTATGTGTGTCCTTTGTTTAATATGGACATAGACCAAGGTGAGCGACACAGGCTCTTTAGAGCCTCTAGTTTTTTTTTTTCGGAAGGTGGGTGTAGATTGTTATTGAATAATCTAAATAGAACGAACTTGTCGCTTCTCAGTCCTGTTTCACCTTTTCATGACCAGTTAATTCAAATATTAGATTTAGATTTGTAGACATGCAGTTCTGATAATTATATATGTCACTAAATCCTTAATCTGACCTAGATTTAGTTAGACTTTAGCCGGTCATAGTACTTTCCAATTGTTTGTTGTTGAGTCAAGCGATACATTTACGTATGCCTAAAAATTATCTGCACTAGTCTTGCAGATCATGATATACAACTAAATTCTGTGATATTGATTAAACAAACTTAAAATGTAAGTAAGATGAATGAATTTGAAATATCAGAGGACACATCCCAATATTTTGGAGGTTCAGGTTTAAGAATGACAATAATGGTACCAATATTATATATTCATTTATGTTCGAGGACAAACTAGTTGAAAGTAAGAAACGTAATACAATTTAGAATTAAATGGTTTTTTTTTGTAAATTCATTGGGGTGTAAAAGCGTTGACCGAAGCACATTTTGTATGAAGCGCGGAAGCGCTTCATTCTAAAAATGTACGCACGGTCAACGCTTTTACAACCCTATGAAATTACCAAAAGAAGCATTCAATACTTGTAATTACATTTTTGTCGCTATGATCATGAAAATACAATTCCTATCAAGTTTTTCTTTTATTTGCCTGTGCACTTTGTTGTGAAAACGTGTGTCATCATGAATGTTACAATTCATGCAATTCATTTTTGAAATTTTTGAAATGAAGAATGACGCGAGATTTCTGTAAGCCAATCAAAATAACGTATAATAATGAAACATACATCTAATGTAATTATATTAAAGTTAAAGAGCTGATGAAATAACAATTGACAATTAGTCAAGTAAAATCCAGACCATCAGAGCTATGCATGATGAATATACATCCAATTTTGAGATAATTACAAAAGCGCAATTGTCTTCAGTGCAGATCATATAAAGGTTGCATGGATACGTATTCAAATGGATTGTATTATTGCCTTGCAAACCATTAATACACAAGTGATGATGTTTTTTTATCTCATATTGAAGAAACTGCATCAATCTGACTGCTAAAGGCATGAATAGCTAAATATTTTTATATTCCGCTTTTATAATGTTTGAAATAAAAATAAAAAATAAATCATATTTAAAAAACAAATAAAGGATTTTAGAATAACTCTACATGAACATGACTAGGTCAACCTAAGTGAAAGGTCCATGTAAAAGATCACAATGATATATGGTAGCTTTACAACTTTCTTTAAGTAAGATATATATGTTACAGGACATAAGTAACAAATCAATCAAATCATAGACCCTTATAAAATAGAAAGTTGAATGAACAACGGTAGGATACGAAGCAACATTACTTTACCGAGTTGGTGACAGTTGAAAGTAAAGATTGTTATTTACAAACCAAACCAGCTCTTTAAAACAAATTCTCCTTCTTTGTGACACCCTTCTTATTCAACTAAATTCAATTGATGTAAGCTTTTTTTTTTAATTGATGAATAATTCTTTTAAATGTGTAAACATTGAAAAAACAAGGATTTAATTTAAAATCCTTATAGTCATACGATTGACATCAAATATTGAATTTAGTTAGAAAATATATTTTAAAACCGACTGGTAAAACTGTTTTCAAAATGTTATTTATGGTCCCTTATTTTTTATATTGGTTCTTTGTCTTATCATTGACTCCGAATCAATGTAGTACCCGAGCTTATGATGATTTCATGGTTCAGCCAGCAATTTTGGTAACGAAAACATCTATTAACACAAATGTCAAAATCCAAGGTAAATTCACGAAGTGGAAAGTGCGTAAACCACGACAAAATCAAACGCGCAACTAAATTAGCCAACGGAACATCTGGAAACAATTGTCATATTCCTGACATGGAACAGATATGTTTTTGAAACAACAATGGTGGATCAAACCTTATTTTTTATCTAGTTAAAATTGCAATTTGTATCACACTTGTTTATAATTCCGTTATATTGAAAAAAAATAAGAGAATAACCCTAACAGACATAATTAGTTTAACTTGACAATAATTTGGATCGAGCAGCCAAAGCATGTCAACATATATTATATACAACCCAACTGGCTTACCAAATCCAAACACATGTACAATTTAGTCTAACAAAGACACTGATCAATGTATTTGTAGTTGAGAGTTCATTAAACAATGTACAGACATTTGGATGCACAAATAATAAGCCACGTCAGATATACTTCCAAATGGGAATTAGTAATTCAAACACTATAGTAGAAACTAAAACTAAAAGATCCTGTTTTTACTACACACTCAAGTATGTGTGCTGTTCTCAAAACATCACTATCTTCCACGTTATGTTCACATCTTAATTAATTACCAGGTAAATTAATCTATTGTATGAATTGTTGTTCCTAAAAGCATGTTATCTAACTTCAGCGTATTTCTGATATGTTGAAACCAATGCTGATAGACAGAAACTGTAAACAGGCAAGATAACCTCAATGTAAGAACAACAAAAATGTTAATACTACTAAAATTATCATTTGTATTCTTAAACTATTTAGTTCCCATTAAAGAAAGGGCGATGCTTTCTATTTAAATTTTTCAGTTTTGCAGATCCAATGCTAGAATTATTGAAATTCATATCCTACCAATGTAGTTATTGCTCTTCAATGACGATATTTTGAAAAAAAAAAATTTTTGCTTATTACTCCCAACATCATGACAGTGGTTACAAAGCTGATTGTCAATTTCAACTTTATTTTGAATTAGGATTAAACATTCTGATATTATGTAGTAGCCCCTTTTGTTGTTTATACAACATTGTCATTTATTTATGACAATGTCATTCGATGTGTTTAAGCATATTCACCGCTCTACAAAAAAAGTAAAATCACAAAAATACTGAAACCGAGGAAAATTCAAAACGGAAAGTCCCTAATCAAATGGCTAAATCAAATGATAAAACACATCAAACGAATGGACAACGAATGTCATATTCCTGACTTGGGCATTTTCAAATGTAGAAAATGGTGGATTGAACCTGGTTTTATAGCGCTAAACTTCTCACTTGTTCGACAGCCGAATCAAATTCCATTATAATGGCATTGATGCGTGAACAAAATGTCACAAATAGGGGTACAACAACAACAACAACAACACGAACTCCACC